AGCCTGAATGTGCAGCCTTCTATCTAAACTTTTTTTTACTAAGTAAATCACTCTTGGGCTTGTAACAAAAGTTGTAGAGCTTATCAAGATGCATCTAATAGTGAAAGAATATTAAAATCAATCTGGTGGTTCTTGAGAAATCTTTAAAAAACTTCTTTTTCATATATAAAATTTTTTTTAAAAAAATTTTATATATGAGAAAGAAGTTTTTTAAAGATTTCTCAAGAACTACCAGACTAATTTTAGTATTTTTTCACTATTAAATGCATCTTGATGAGCTCTACAACTTTTGTTACAAGCCCAAAAGTGATTTACTTAGTAAAAAAAAGTTTTAGATAGAAGGCTGCACATTCGGGCTTATAGTAAAATTTACATATAAAAAAAAATATATTTGTTTAGGTAATTCATGATTTGTTTATTAATGTAAAAACTATTTTTGATTAATTATATAACAAAAATTACTTAAATAAATTTTTTAATATAATTATTTAAATATTAGAGTAAAAATTAAGTTAGACTTTAAATTATAAATATTTTTTATTAATTACTCAATAGAATATCCTAATAAAATTTTAGAATATAAAAATATTAACAAATATATAATACAATATAATATAGTAATGTTTTAAAAAAATTTTTATTTAAAACAAAAAATTCAAAAACTTAATTTTATATAAAATATATAACTCAAAACTATATACAAGTATTAATTAATTTACAAATTCGTATAATATACATATTAATTTTTGCAACAAAAGATTTAATAAAGTTAGTTACATAATAATATTTATAATCTTGGCTAAAAATTTACAAATTTTTTTTTTGGTAAAACCTGTTTTATAATCAAAATCTGAGATATAAACATACCCCGTGTACAGACAGCACAAATAGTATTTTTTTTGTATTACTACTATATATGTATAAATATATAAAAAAAATACAGAAATTAAATAAGTATATTTAAGATTATGTTTAAATTCTTAAAATTGTTTTAAAAATACCCATTATGCAATTATTATTTTTTCTTAAACTAAATTTATAATAGAAAACAATTTTAATAGAATAATATGCGTATTAAGTCATGTGATTTAGAGGTGTACCATAATACAGATGCACAATATTATAAAGCTTTAATTTTTTCTTCTTCAGGAACACAATAGGCTCCTGCTGCAAGACACAAATTCCTTCTTGTAAAATATATTTTATAAACAGGAGTTTTCTTTGTTGATAGCGTAGTTATAAGATCCCTATATAATATTTCGATTAATAATTATTAGTAATAGAAATGAATCAATGCAACTGAGCTTACTTGGTTGGAATTACAGCTGGCGCTGATGATTTCATGTAAGAGTAAGGTTTTGCTTCACTATCTTGAGATCTAACTTTATTTGTTGATAAATTATCTACATCGTACGAATCATCGGAAATGCCCTTTTTCACGTCCCACAATCGAACGGTGTTATCAGCACTCCCTGATGCAATAATAGTACCCTCTTTACTAAAATCTAATGAATAAATGACATCTGTATGTCCTATCATCTTTTTGAGCAACTTTCCGTTCCCGAGATCCCATAACATAATGGTCTTATCTTCACCTATAAAATCAATGCATGTTTGTACCTTATTAAACAACTATAAATATCCATGAAATAACTTACCCCCAGAAGCCAATATACGCCCATCCGGCGATACAGACAAGCAATAAATTCCTCCAACATGCCCTGAAAATATCCGAAAGCAAGATCCTCTTTGAACATCCCACATACGAATAGATTTATCAATAGATCCTGTGATTACATATTTAGAATTGGGGTGAAATTTCACGCACTTTATATTTTTCAATATAAGGAATAAAATTAACATTTCAATGTTTGTGATTATTTAAACAGTGTATTGAAATAATTTTTACGTACATCTACATCTGATAAGTGCCCAGCAAAGATCCTCAAAGGATAAATATGATCACAACTCCATAATCTTGCAGTCCTGTCGTGACCTGCAGTTGCAAAATAAAACCCATGTGGACTAAAGTCTACATCCCAGACAGGCGAATTGTGACCTTTATAACAAACAACATTCGTGTAGGTATCTGTACTCCAAAGTCTTACTTCATGTTTATGGATAAAAATAAAATTAATATACACACATAATTTTCAGAGATTTGATGTAACGACTTACATACCGGTTCTATCCTCAGAACAAGAAACAAGATACTTGTTATCTGGGCTGAAACTTAACCCAAATATTGGTCCAGAGTGTCCAAGGAGTTTTTTAAAGTCATTGCCAGGAAGTTCTCGTTTATTTTCAAGATCGCTTGCTTACAAATGATCAATATAAAAAACTTATTACTCGCAAAATTAGATAACGAACAGAATAGAAAGTTTTTTATGAATTTACCTGAATTTATTTCAGAAAGATTAACATGACTTTGGAATCCTCTCAGTTTTTCACCTTTCAAACTCCATAATTTAATACAAGAATCTGAGAAACCTCCTGCAATAAGAGACGCATCTTCCGATATAGATATACAATTTAAACTGATAGGCGATAGGCATCATTAAGGTTTTGTAACTATAAGTAGAAAAAACTGTATATTATATACTAATCAACCTACCTATTATGTGTGTTATGAAAGGTATAAAAACAAACAGACGGAAGAGTGGTGGATGGTCCCAGTTATATTCTTTGTGATATGTCTTTGATGAGCTCGACCTGTGCACGTATATCAGATCCTTTGCTGAAAGGCTCTCAGGTCAGATATGTAAATCCATATTCGCGTTATTATAGGTTTAGTTATAATTAAATGATCAAAACATACTATGACGGTAGCGGAATAGATGCTCGATCGGGTGCGTCTGAACTTTGTTCCCTTTTAACCTTTTCAATGAACTCTTGTTGTAGTGAGTGAGATTGGTATCCAATACCATTCGCCTAGTTTAAAATTTGAAATAATTATAATAAAATTATAAATAGAAAGGAGTTTTTTTAATATATATAAATACCTTCTGTTCATCAGTCCCTGACTGATATTCGGCTTCGATCTGTGCTATTCGATAATTATCTTCGTCACTAAGCACTTTCTCAACTTCATCACGCATAGCTGGGTCCATTGGCATGTGTCCCAGTAGAACTTCTTGCTGATTAAATTCTTCAAGTTCTTGTGATGAGAAACCGGGAATACCAATCTCGGTATGTGATGTGCCAACTAATATGCTTAGTACAATAGAATTAATTCAGAGAATGAGATATATAGGATGATACTAAACACTTACCTTCAATATTAAGATGCTGATTCACTATTCTTAATAGAAAACTTTTGTCTTGTAAAAAATCTATAAATATATCGTATGCTGTATTTGTCATTTGTACCGGAAATTTCTTAGATAGAAAATTTTGAGCAAGCTCATTCTCCTGTATATGATGCGCATGTGTTATTACACGTAATGACTTTAATTCTTTAATATGAGTGCTGTGATCCGTTTGGAAAGTGTCGAAAAACTCTGTCGCTGTAGAATTTAATTTTCGAACGTTAATTTATAAATGACATAAATAAAAATGCTCAAAATGCATTTAATTTGCAAAACCTTGAACAATATGTTCTTTCGAGACAAGCTCAAGATACGCGTGTACAAATATTGGCCAAAGCACTCTCTGAAGTTCTCCCTAAATTCATATTTGTGATTTGGTAATAAATTTAGAAATGTGATAAGTGAGTAAATTCAACATAAGTGCAAACGATCAAAGTGAAATAAATTACCTTGTATTTATCTAAAGATTCTTCAACGTATTTTCGTAAACTTGAATAGTTTTTCTTGTATTCCTCTGGGTTATAGTTTCTACGTTCATAATGAAACTTTGTTAACACGAAGAAGTAAATTACTCATTAGATCTAAGTTTCTTACCGAATAAACCCCGTCGGTTCGATTCCCATTCGTTCTAGATACTGCCGTACGATCTCGTCGGTAAATTGTGTAGAAGTCATTTTGATTTCATATCAGATATTGTAGCTTCGAAAGTAGATTTTATACTCAACAATGGATTGTCACATGACTTAATTCCGGTGTAGAACTCGGAAGTTACCGTTGACATAATGATACTTCCAGCAACAGGAACAGGAGCGACCGTTAAGGTTACACAAATCGCAGATCACTTCCGTGATCATCCGTTCTTCAATCAGCCAATCAAAA